AAAATGTTAACACAAAGTTTAACATCAGTTTTTCTTACAATATTTATATAAACGTGATTCCTCATATACTTGATGTKAGTATTGTTTTGATGGTATAGAAATATAATAAGCAAAGAGTATGACAGCCATGTGATTAATTCTTGTGAAAATATTGTCAAAGTCATTAAATACACGTTCTTCTTTCACCACCTATAGTTAAATATAGCCAAATTATCTTGATGTATTTATAATTAAAATATAATAAACAGTCTCTAAATAGTGATGTAGACTCTGTAATATTATTAATTAGTAATAACTCACTATGTAACAAAACGTTACTCTTATTGGGTTTTGTATCTTGTTAAATTTATTTAAATTTGTATTTTACAAGTGTTGAATGTTTAAATTCAATATTTTATTTTTATTTTTAGTTTCTGATACTCTTTGCGGGCGTACAATTAAAATAAGGATAATATACAGGATTACAAACATCTTTAATAAAAGTTTTCATTTAACTCACACTACCAACATAAGTATGCATACTATCAGATCATAGAAGAGTATAGAGGTGGTGTATTGATATGAAAATATGTTGTAATACATTACTCATTACTGTTACACTTTTAAAGGCGTAACCCATTGAGTGACTGGTGATACGCACTTTTATGTAGTATCCTAGTCAGTGGATCAGTGGCGACGACGGTCACTGATCTGTGGTGATGTTGTCTGCCAGAAGTAGTAGTAGTTAGTCGGCAGCGGCAGACTGCTGACTGGTCGCTGTTGTCGGCGTACACAGTTTGGCGGAGATGTACTTTGACAAACCAAGAAAAATCCTTTGTCTCTAGTCTTCTGTGCATTATATGGAAAAGCTGAAAGAGAATGGGCACTGGGCAGTCGGTAAAAGGGACATCTTAACATATTTGGCCACCACCTTTCTTCAGTTATCTAACTTCACAATAATATTCTATACCGAAATTGAATCGTCTCTTATCCTGCTCACTAACCACATCTCATCCATCTAAACATATTTGAACGTATGTCTCACTAGTACTACCTTCTTAAATATTTCATATATATATATATTTTTTTTTACAAGCAATTATCATATAATTAACATGGGTTTACATGACTATTGCCAACATTTGCATGACAAGATTTATAACTGTGTTTTTCAAAAAACTAGATATTCAAGATAACCACTGATATGCTGCGTTAATAACATTGACTTAAGAAGAATTAAATGCATTCAAGGTTATCTTTTAACCTAGGATTTGATAAAATAAGGCCCTCATTGTCAATATTTAAGGGCTGTGAATTAATTTTATTTATCATACGTCAAGTTAAATATAAGGGTATATTGGCTGGATTGTGATGAACCTGAAATATTGATAAAGAGTTTATTTAGTAAAAAAAAAAAGAAAATATGAATAATAAAATAAAGAAAACATAGAAAAAAAAATGTTCAGTTATAGGTATATAAAACAAATAACAGTGTTACCCTAAGGATCTACACTTAGTGTGACTCTTTCCTTGTAGCCATGAGTTATATTTGTAAAATTCTTCCTAAGCTGGTAAAATACATTCTTTTCACCGATCACTGTAATATTTATTGCAGTGATTTTCAAATCAAAACTAATATTAATTTCTTCAATTGTCATTGAAAGCCCTCACCAAATAGTATTGGAATCGGGTTTTTTGTTTCCTCCCTCTAAAACTCAATATATAATTTTCAATATAAGGAAAAACGATCCTTTACTACTAACAACTTTCATGAACACCTCTTTGGCATAACATTCTCCAGAAATTTCCGAATTCTAGGTCTCACGTTTGATGGCAAATAACCTTCACTTAAAAAAACTCAAAGCAAAATGTCTATCAAGATTGAAAATTATAAAAATACTCGGGAACAATAAGTGAGGATCTGAGATAAAAAGCCTCCTCAGAACCTACAAAATATCTCTTATTCTCTTAGTAATCGACTTTGGTACTATACGTTTGGCTACTGGGGCTTTTAGGAGTAGCTCGGTAGATAGTATCTCATGCAATGCTAGTGAACTCTCTCTTGGACTAAGACGTTATAGTCATATACTCAATTATATATCAAGAATTAAAAGTTTTCCTAATCATATTATATCCAGTAATATACTCTATTGTCCTCTTTCTGCTAACTTACTCAACAACAGAAATACAATTATTGAACACTGCAAAACGAGAAGTGCAAATTTTGGCTTCCAAACAGCAGTACACAAGTAGTATATAAAAAGCTAAATTTCCTCGCAATGCCTTAAAATTAAACTTTACTACATCTTCAGTCACTCGATACACCATTAACCTCAAAATTYTAGATACATGGTAGAAAAACTGGACCAACGTTCCCCTCTCAAATAAACTAACGAACATCAAGAATTTCATAAAAAATTAAATTTGCTCTGTAACTTAAAACGAAGAGACAAGGTAGTTATAATCCGAGCCAGAATAGACCACACACCTCACCCACTCCTGCTTCATCACCAAAAGACTTGCTCCAGTATGCAACGCCTGCTACGTGAATCTATCGATCGACTATATTGTAAGTAGATGTCCAAAATATGCTAAAGCACTGAAAATCTTAAAAAACACAACATCCCCCCGTCTTGCTCTCACCGAAGAAAATACTGATCTGTACAGCTTTCCATTAAAAAAAATCTGTATTCACTTAAAGGAACACATGATATATAATTTAATAAGATATTTAACATAAAACGGCCGCAATTATGGAGACTCTCACGCAGTCACGCCCCTCGCATGGTTGTGCTCATAGAGTGTATGGCATAGACTAAGATATGATGGACTGAAATGATATGTTGCGCAGGTGACAGGGGATGGCCCGAAAAAAGTTCCTATGTTATTATCAACACTGTTAAATATTTTCACAGCTATCAATGGTTTTATTTAAGTTGCATAGATATTTGCATACTTAATTTTGAGGCCACTAATAAGCTGCACCGCTGCACGTTTCCAGTCCATTACATTTTCTTAGTCCTTTGTCATAACATTACTATTGCTGTTATTAGTGAGCCTGGCACTTAGTAGTAATCAACCATCACTCCAATGTAATTAGTGCTCAGAGCTAACAACATTGACATAACATTCGGCCTTTTCTGGCGTAATGGTCGGTCTCGGTCATTGGAATAATACATGTTTTTTGTTAAAGTAAAATTATCCCTGATAGGAACAACACGTGCGACTTAAGCTTACCTCAATAACGATATATTATATTATATATATTTACATTAAAAAAAAAAAAAATTAAATATACAAAGCAGAAAGCAGAAAATAAAATAAATTGATCAATTAGCGAATTCAGTGAGATCTTTAGTGGACCTTCATCAAATCCTGATAATTGATCTGATACTTTGGTGTGAGTGTGTGACGTCGTAATCACTGCGATCCTAGTAGTTGATCTGATATGACTTTGTGAGTGATGCTGTTAACGCTGCAAGATGTTTGGTTTGGTGTGGTAAACAAGTTTCCCAATAAAAAATTCGAAATTGTGTTACTGTGAACGCTACAGAATAAAGTTAGACAACTCAAATACGTTCCGCTGCAGTGGTGGCCTGAGCACAAATTACTTGGTCAGTTAAATAAAAAAAGATCTCCTCTATTTAGGTACAAATAGGAAGACACGGGGAATTTAATATAATTTTTCAATAAATTCTGCTTTATAAGCGCAAAGATGGACTCACAGAGATGGTTATGATGCACATAAAAAATCAATACTTTTTATAATGATACTGTATTAAAAATTAATGTAGAGTAATATAATTTTAATGTTTTAGTTTGTACGAAATATGCATTGATTTTATTTTTAATTGGCGTATTGTTATAGGTATAGCTAATAGATTGATTTTAAGAAAAAAAGATTAAATTGATGGTTGTATCTTCGTTTTTTAATCCTCATATTATAATAATTATTTAATTTTTTTCATATGTTGACAAATATCGTATTATGTTTGTTTATAACAGTATCGATGAGAAAAATCTGAATACAAACATACACAATTATTTTTAAATATGACACTACTAGTTAATTCCCCCTCCCTCCAAACTAACCTATACCTATACATCATTTTAATTTTAACATAACTATGTTTTTGGGCTGAATACGTGATTTTTTTGTTACTGACCGATTTTTAATAAGGTTTTCGTTGACATGATTACTTATTGAAAAACATATTTATGATTGATAGATTTTCTTTTTAGAGAAAAATATCGAATAGCACGTGAATAGTACTTGTAATATTGGTTACAGAATGAACTGCAACTACTATTGATTGACTTTTTTCTGCTTCTCAAGAATTTTGCTCACTACTTAGTATTATATAAATCTTAAATTTCTATTCTAATAGATTTTTAATATTTGATATAACCCAATGTATAAAAAAAAATATTATTTAAAACAAATACTATCCATAATATGTTGATAAAAACTAAATAATGTAAATTTATAAAATGAAAAAAATCTAAATACTAATCTCATAAAAATATATTTTTTGTAATATTTCTATAATTGTTCATTAAAACTCTCTCCCTATTTACAAATCTATACGTATATCCCATACATACTTATAAATAATTTTAATTATTACATAACTATATTTTTGGGCTTGATGCATGATTTTTTGTTTGTGGTTGATTATTAGTGCGGTTTTCAATTACTTATCAACAAAAACATATTCATGATTCAAAGATTTTTCTTGTAGAGGAAAATATTGAATAGCTTGCCGTTATTACAACATTGTTTACAGAATGAATTAAAATTAATATTGATTGACTTTTTTTTACTTCAGAAATTTTTTCTGTAGTATTATGTAGAACCTAATATCCTATATTAAAACACTAACGTTACACTTATGCATTATCATACATGTAAAATAATAAATTTTATATAACCCAATGTGTTTAAAAAACTATAATTTTTGAACMAAAATACACGTAATAATGTTTGTAGTTGGATATATTATTATATTTATAAAATTAAACACTTATATTTGTATGAGAATTTCGTGAGAATATTGATGAATACCTGTTAAAAATATATAGTGTAAATCATTCTATTTTATTTTTTTTTAATATTTAAATTAAAATCGTTCAACTTCGATCTAATTTTGGACATGTTTCAAAAGTTTTTCCTGTCCATCCATCAATAATTAGGTTTGTAACTGGAAATTTCTCACATTGACATTGACCCTCGTAATCATCTGTATCAAGCTGTTCTAGGACAATTCCTACATATACTGTTTTTGCATAAGCTCCCTAAAAGAAACAAAATAATAATAAAACAAAATGTATAACAATAGTCAAACACTATCCCCTAATATGTGGAGCGGTACATAAAACTCTGAAACAAATTCGTGTTCTTGAAAAATGATATTTTAATATTAAAATATTTGRCGAGACTCTTATTTTAAGAACATTTAAATGAAAATTTACCCACGAGTAGGTTTCTGGTCTAGGTAATTTTTAATACTTCATTATTTATTAAATTATAATGCAAGTGTTCGGGACTGATCAGAACCATTCAAAACGGTAGATAATTGATAATTCCAGATGAAACACCGTCTAGCATGCGGTTGAGTGTGTAAATAATATATTATGCTATATTAAAAAGATGACATTTTGTATTCATATTCACCCGTGTTCACCCATCACGGTAGTAACAGTATTTAATTCATCGCTGAGAAGTTTCCAAAATTCTATGAAAAGAAATTATTATGACATTCATTTTGAGATACATTTATGTCCCTCGTACATGAAATGACAATTCTTTTATTAGTGTAATACAACGTTTCTATAATTTTTTAACTTGTGTGATAAATTCACCACTCAAAATGTTGTAATCATGGTTATACTTTAAATGGATAAAAATCAACGTGTATTAGTAACAGCTTATTTTGGCAATAAATATTTTCATTCAAACTTAATGGTCAAAATACGTACGTTTCTCCAGCCCCACACCTATTTCGAATTTGGAATATATTTTTGGCTATATATTTAGCGTGTAATTAGCGTGAATTAGTGTGACTGGTTTTGAAATTTGCTTGGTACAAGGTCATGCTTAAAAATGAAAACAAGGTGGTGGTTTACTTGTCATTTGGTGGTGGAGGGGGGGAATAGAAAAAAAATGGTAACGCTCCTAGTTATCGGAGTTTTGAATAATGGGCTCCAAAATAGGTCATGCAAATTCATGCCAATTTCACGCTAAATATTGGCGTTGAAAAAAGACCTTAAAGTTTAAAATTCAGATGAGGGAGGTTGTAGAAAGTTTCTATAGCCCCCCACCTCATCATGTTTTTATTTTTAAGTTTGACCTTTTACCAAGCAAATTACAAAACCAGTCACGCTAATTCACGATAATTACATGCTAAATTTTAGCCAAAAATATTATTGAAATTCGAAATGGGTGGTGGGGGCTGGAAAAACGTAAGTAGTCAAAGGTTGTCACCTGATTTAGTATTATTTGACAGTTCCTAACAAGAAAGTGTTGCTATTTTAAAGAATTGGATGAAGATAATTCCACTGAGTTTCTTTTTTTTCACTTATTCTACTAGGTCATCTTACTACTTGTCGTTCAAATTTTTGTCTCAAAATAAAATGCTAGTTTTTATTATGTTTTTCGAATAAGCTAAATATATAAAGATTTATGTACATCGAGAACATATTGGTGAGTGTTATCACTAAAGATGAACTTTTTCTGAAAGCGGGCCAAAGATTGGCTTTGCTATTCGCCTATATGCATAACGAGTGTCATTAAGTTGGTTTTTAAAAGTACCATCATATTTTTTTAATCACAATTTGCTAAGGGGATTGGAAGCGGTGATTTTCTGTGTTTATCTAACGCACGTACAACATAGGATTATAGACGTGTTCTATTTCCAACGTACCGATTGATATAATGAAATGATAAGAAATATGTAGACAGATTTGAATTAGTCATCAAGTCTTTTTGACATTGATTTTCTCTCATTTTTGATATTATCCTTCACAATTCTAAAAACGATACATTAAAAAAGAGTAATTAAAAAAATATTAAAATAAAAAATAAAAATGTGCGAAATTCGATCTCAGGAAGACTTGACGACAAATTCCATTTTTTTGTTCAGAATTCAAATCTGTTTTCATATCGCTTTATTATATCAATCGGTACATTGGAAATAGAATAGGTACATCTAAAATCCTATGTTGTACGTGTGTTAGACAAAAACAGAAAATCAACGCTTCTAATCCTCTAATGTAAACCGTAGTAAGTTTTTTACCAAATCAAAATCACATCTTGTTTTTATAAGGTTTTCTTTTCATCAAAACTGTCTATTTTCATTTATCACACCTTGTTTTATACCTATACATATTATTTTTTTTATTCTTCTGTAGTTTATCCTTTGTACGTATGTACTAACGGCTTTCATTACAATTATGATATGATTCTGTCAAATAATTAAGTAACTAACCAAGACTTCGTGTGCACAATGTGATTTTTATATAATTACTTGTTGATATGAAAGTATTGAAGGGGTAATACACAATTCAGATGGCTTGAATGGATCGGTATTGTTACAATACTGTAATCAAAACAAGGTAATGATTTTTAGAGTAAACTAAAAAATAGATAGTAAAATCTAAAAAAAAAGAAGTTATTTATAATTACAACCTATGCTGAAAAACTGTTTCACAAAAAAAAAAAAAAAATCAATAAAAAAAAACTTTAACCTGTGGTGCTTAAATTAACATATTAACCTTTTATACGAAATAGAACAAATCGCGTAATATTTATTTTATGTTTATCGAATTAAATGTATTTTCAATTTTGACGTAGAAGTATCTAACATTATGGTTTACTTATAATATATTGTTTAAATTAATATGATGCTTTGTAAATTTGCGTTTATATAAAAGCTTTGATAATTTAATAACTTTAATACAAATTGTAGATTTCTATGAATTTTTCTTGGTAATTTGTATGTCATATTTGAATCTAGATTAGCGGAGTGGAGTGGCACTAGTGAACTTTAAAATATGATGGTCCACTTATTCATTTATCTCAAGATTCTAAACTTTAAATGCTATTATCATGTATAGTTAATTTTGTACCTTCATCCAAAAAGTAAAAATACCTAATATTTTTATAAAAAATTATGTTTTAAATTAACTTCAAAATTATGTTAAAATAACATTTAAAAAGTAAATTTGGAATTGGTTTTATTTTAATATGTAGCTTTTTAAATACATTTCTCTGCATCATTACTATTTTTAGCGAAAATAGAATAAATGGTTTTATGATGTGCACGGATTGAGAAAATTTGGCACAGTTTGTTTGTATAGCAAAATAAGATTATCGTGTAACCATTTCAATCATTTTTTGTTTAACCTAACCTAACCTGAAAAGTTTATTTACTGGCTACTATTAAATATATATGTATTATAATAATATAAATCATACTTTAGTGTACGTTATAACATAATAGTCATCGTTTTTGGAAAGAAGATATAAAGGAATAATTGGAGCTATTAGTATCTTAKCATAGATTTTAGATTTATCCATAGTTGACTTATTTATACCACTAGTAACTTGTTCCTGAAAAAAAAAAATGCTTAGATGATTTTTCTTTTTAAATTGACATAATAATGTGTTGATATATTAAAATTTTTTCAAGAATAGGTACGTACAACAGTTATCAAATCCGGATTAGTGGATTTTATTGGAGAGAAACCAGTTTTCAAAGTATCATTTGTACAATTGTTTATTCCCCATTCAATGACGTAAAAATCCAAAACTTTATTTGTTATTGTAAAATCAAAAACTTGAAGAACATAATCGAAATATAGGTACATAATTTACAAATTTTAGTGCAAAGTTTAAATTTACAATAAAAATATAATTTACTTACTAGTTACACGTATTAATTGAAGATATAAAGGATTATTTTAGATAAAAGAATTGAAAAGATACAATTTTATATAAATATATAGAACAAAAATGAAAATAACATAATTTAGGTATTTATTGCCYTTTTTGAAATATAATTTTTTTTCAGGGTGGAATCCACGGCAACATAAGCAATTGGGTGTGGGATGGAACGGTGGGGGTTATTTTTGTATATTTTTGTTTGTAGGTTTTTGAGTTGGTAGGGTTGTAATACGTGTTTGTGTATGTGTGGCAAGGACATGTTGCTAAAAATCCTGGTCGGTCACCCGTCCGCAAGCTAGCAACTGTGGCCGGYACGTACGCTCAGTGCATTTCCGCAGATTAAGCGTACGGACGCGACACACCAAGCCACTGAAATATAAATTTAATATAATGTACTTACGCGTTTCATTTGTAAAACTTTCATAGTAAAAACCAGGTATGAAGAAACCAACTTTTAAGTTTTGTGTTATATTTTTAACTTTAGTCACAAATGAACTCACATTTTTTGAAAAACCCTCTATGTACATCTAGTTAGATACAGTTAAGTAAGAAAGTTAGAACTTAGAAATACATAGTTTTTGAGTATATAACATTCTATTAATAAAAATGTTCGAAAAAATAAGAATAAAACGTTTTGTTAACGTTTATTTTATGTAATATAATGATCAAAATAAACTATTTTATAATTATACTTTCTAAAATACGATTAAAAAAAAAAAGCGGGTAAGACGTGGATGTTGCTCTGCTGTACGGTAGGTTACTGTAATGGATGGGATTAAATTTGAATGCAATGATAGGTATCATT